TTTTGTTATTGAAAGAGGTTTAACCGCTTCGGATAGACCTAATATTGTATGTAGAGTTTTTAAAATAAAGTTGGATGAATTGATGAATGAATTTTAAAAAAAAATATTTGGCAAAGTTAATGCAGATATATCATGCTATTAAAATATTTGAATTCATTATTTTGTCCGTATTGTTAGTTGGATTATAAATTTGATTATTTTGTATTATAACAAGTATGTACATAGTAGAATTTCAGAAAAAAGGACTTTCACATGCCCATGTAATGTTGTGGTTAGATAGTGAAAACAAAATCACGACTGCAAAAGATATTGATAAAGTCATCTCTGTAGAGCTCCCAAATTCATCTTTGTACCCAAAATTAGCTGAGGCAGTTTCTACTTACATGATACACGGACCATGTGGAGCTGCTAATTACAAGTCACCTTGCATGAAAGAAGGTCAATGTTCCAAATATTATCCAAAAAAATTTCAAGATGTAACTACAATTGATGATGAAGGGTACCCATCTTACAAACGAAGAGATTCAGGTCTATTTATCCACAAAAATGGTGTCAAGCTTGATAATACGAGTGTGGTTCCATACAGTCTCATTCTTTTGATGAGGTACAAAGGCCATATCAATACTGAGTATTGCAACAAATCTAATTCCATAAAATATTTATTCAAGTATGTCAACAAAGGTCCTGATAAAGCTACAATTGAAATTAGCAACAACACTGGAAATGAGGATCAGTCACCAATAATTGATGAGATTAAAAGATATTATGATTGCAGATATCTCTCACCATGTGAGGCTGTTTGAAGACTCTTTGCTTTTGATATTCATGAAAGATGGCCACCTGTGCAAAGGTTAAATTTTCATCTATCAAATGAACAATTAGTGTTCTTTAGAGATGACGAGAAGATTGATGATGTTGTTGACCATAATCAACAACTAAATACCATGTTTTTGGCTTGGTTTGAGGCCAACAAAACATTCCTTGAGGGAAAAAATTGACTTATGCAGAGTATCCTACTAAATTTGTATATTTAAGTCAGCAAAAAGTGTGGAGACCAAGGAAACAAGGGTATTCCATTAGTAGACTTGGCTATATTCCTCCTGGAATAGGTGAACTATACTACATGAGGATTTTGTTAACTACGCAAAAGGGTTGTATTGATTATGAAAGTATCAGAATAGTTGATGGTAAGACTTATGAAACATTCCAAGATGCATGTTATGCTTTGAGTTTATTAATGGATGATAGGGAGTATATTGATGCAATAAATGAGGCTAGCCAATTGGCTTCGAGTATATAAATGAGAAGGTTGTTTGTTTCATTATTATTTATGAATACAATATCCAAACCAGATGTTGTTTGGACATCCACTTGGAGGTTGCTAGCTGATGATATTTAGTACCAAAAACGGAAAGAACTTAATTTCCAGGTAAATTTATAATTTATGTCTATTTTTTAAAAATTGTGAATGAATAGACAAATCTAAAATGCTAATTAATTTCATGCAGGCCTTCAACTTGATGACAGTGAGCTGCAAAATCTTTGTCTTATTAAGTTGGAAAAGTTACTTATGTCAAATGGGAGATCTTTAAAAGATTACAATTGCTTTCCAGATGTCAATATGTCATATTTATTTTCATTTGAGAATAAGTTTATTGTTGATCAACTTGACTATGACAGAATACAGTTAGCTAAAGTACATGATTCTCTTATCAATATGTTGACAGAAGAACAACTAGCTGTGTACAATGAGATAGTACAATCTATTTTTTCTGAAACAGGAGGTTTCTTCTTTTTATATGGTTATGGTGGAACTGGAAAAAACTTTTTGTGGAAAACATTATCTGCATGTCTTAGGTCCAAAGGAATGATTGTACTCAATGTTGCATCCAACGGTATTGCTTCTTTGCTTCTCCCAGGTGATAATATGGAGCTTCAAGCAAAATTGTGGCAAAGTTGCAAAGTTCTAAAGCTTACTCAAAACATGAGACTCAATACTACAAAGACTGATGCAACAACTTTTGACATAAAAAAATTTGCTAATTGGATCCTTCAAATTGGAGATGGAGATATGCTGATGGATTAGAATGGGGAAGCTGAAATATCTATCCCTAAAGAGTTGTTGATTCAACCAGTTGAGAACCCATTAATGTCATTGGTTCAGTTTGTGTATCCAAGTATACTTCATAACATGAAGGATGTTAACTTCTTTCAAGAAAGAGCAATTTTAGCTCCAACGATAGAATATTTTGAGCAAGTAAATAATTTCATGTTGTCTCTCATACCAGGAGAAGAAAAAAAATTGAGTTCTGACACACCTTGCCCATCAGACGAAGAAACTGAAATTCAAGGTGAATGGTTTACATCTGAATTTCTAAATGATGTTAAATGTTCTGGAATTCCAAATCATAAGTTGACCTTAAAGGTTGGAGTACCTGTTATGTTGCTAAGAAACCTTGATCAATCAAATGGTTTGTGTAATGGTACACGGTTACAAGTAACGGATTTGGGTACAAATGTTATAAGTGTTACAGTTATCACCGGCACCAACATTGGGGACAACATTCTTATTCCAAGAATGAATTTAGTACCTTCAGATCCTGGATTCCCGTTCAAATTTCAACGAAGACAATTCCCTCTTTGTCTTTGCTTTGCAATGACTATCAACAAAAGTCAAGGACAATCACTATCTAAGGTTGGGTTATTTCTACCAAACCCAGTATTTACCCATGGTCAACTTTATGTTGCTATCTCAAGAGTCAAATCCATGCAAGGATTGAAAATTCTTATACTAGATGAAGATGGTCAAGTATGTAATTCTACAAAGAATGTAGTCTACAAAGAAGTGTTTGAAAATTTGTAGCATACAGTATATCAAAGGTGATTTTATTACCTCTTTTAATTTGGTCCTAAAAATAAGTTAATTTATTATTATTGACAATTTCTGCATCTTTTGGCATGAATATAGGGTGTCCTTGGATCACAAACCAACTCCAATGACATCAATTGACTTATACCAGTCATGATACAAGATTTTAATTAATAAATTTCTTATGTTGTCTATTATAATATCATTATATCTAGATTACTTTAGGGTTCATGATTTAGAGTTTATATTGAATAAAACTAAATTCATTAGATGCGTCATTTAATATTATAAAATGTTTGTTTACTAATGCACAAAAATTATCTTTAATGTAGCACATTATTTTATTATTGTGATTTTTCTCAAAAGTCATAGTACTAATATTCTATACTTACATTCATTGTTAAATTATTATACTACTTTTAACTATCTTACATAACAATTTGTTAAATAAATATATTAACATTTTGTGAAATTAATCATATTAACACAACAATATATTAGTGTAAATAACTTATTTAAATTTTATCTTGCAAAATTACAAAAACTAAATAAGCCAAGTGTAGAACTTTGTTAGAAAATATTGTTCATCTATCATATCTTTAACATTAATATGATTGCAAAAATTTTAATTAAAAAATATATTAATTTATTATAATTATTATAATATATATTTTATCAATATACTTTTTATTTATTATAAAATGTATATAAATTAAATATAAAATATTTTTTATAAGATAAAGAAATTAAATTATCATGAAATATAATTTGTTATATAAAAAATTATAATAATCTCGTGCACGGGTATTGAACCTAGTTAAAATTTACGAGAAATATTATTATTTATTTATTTTTCTAGAAGGAAATAAATAGGTGGATAGAAGTAGAAAAAAAGTATTTTGAATATTTAATTTGAATAAAAAGAAAGAAATAAAAAATTCATAAGATAATCAATTGTTAAAGTAACAATAGGTTTTTAGAAATTGAGAATCGAATTTTTTTTCTTTCATTATATACGTGTCTAGTGTTTTAGGTTGACCAGTCGTTGGTCCAATTTTCAATACTAATGGTTTAAATTTGTGTCAGATGATATATATAGATGCCCCTCTCAACTTAACATTATTATATCAAGTACAGTACGAACATAATTATTTTTTGTTACTTGAAAATAAAAATCACATTAATAGTGTTTAATCTGTCAATACATCAGGTAAGATTCTTTCTTCCTATGATGACTTTTTTGAGTGATGCTGAGATATTCTTGTCCAGTTATTATTATTATTATTATTATTATTATTATTATTATTATTATTATTATTATTATTATTATATTATATTATATTATATTTGCAATAACACATTCTTTTAAACATTATTATTAAAAAAATATAAGTTTTTATGAATTTCATTTTTTATTTAATAATTTTTAATTAATAGTAAAAATAAATCAATAGTTGAAAGAAGTGAATAGCTCAAATGCTAAAATAAATTCTGTCCAGTCTACTTTTTAGATTAAAAAATTCTAATTTACTGATTACATAAATACATATAGAAGACTGAAATAATATGATAACTAAAATGTGACTAGTAGTCAATTTTCACTCCAACCATATATAACACCATTAGTTCCCTTATAAATCAAACATCTAATTATTATTTTGTGTCACATCTTCGTAACAAATAGCATCATTGAAAATAATGTATTGTTAGGAATTTGGATCCATTCTCATACTATTAGTACTTCCTAAAAAATAATTAATAACATTCATATGAGAAAAGGCACTCAAGTAAAATGATACAAATTTCTCACTCAAGTAAAAACTCTGATCACTCTTTGGTCTCTGTGCTATTGAAAACTGACTGCAAGAATCTTCATTCGCAGCAACTGAGATGTGAGAGCACAGTGAGCCAAGCACATAAGACAAAATGAAAATTGCACTATAGTGTATTATTAAACTATACTATTAGTATTGAAATACTACACCATACTTTTTCTTTTTCTTGTTTTGGTAGTGGCACCATACTTATTTTTAAGTGCTTTTTTAATTATTATATGTGTCCATTTGTTTTCGCAGAGATATCAATATTATATGTTTAATTCAAACTTTGGAGAATCAACCATCACGTTAGATACCCTGCAGAACTACATGGAGGAGAGAGAAAGGGTACCCTTGACCTAGACCAAGGGCCATTTCTTTTGAAGTTGAAGCAGACACAGAGAACCAAAGAAAGGGCCTTTACATTTTTGTTTTTTCTTTCACCTTTCAGCCAAAAATGGTAGAAAAATAGGGTAAACTTCAATGACTTCAGAGCAGAAGTGTTAGCATCATCATCATCAAATAAGGTTGGCTTAGTGATGTGAGAGTCACACTTGTGATTTCTAGCACTTACATTTTCTATGCTGACATTGGTTGTTGTTTCCCTTGAAGCTGAATCTCCAACTTTCACATTCAGGGACACAGTTTTAATGCTTCACATTCACACCACATCAGTACTCGCTCTGCAAGTACAGCACGCAGATTCAGAAGCTAAAAGCCAAGTGATGAGTCTGTGCACCACATGCAGAACTCTTGTGTCTTAGCCTTTTACCATTGGATTGCATTTATGTTTCCAGAACCAGGCAAATGCTGTAGGGTCATAGACAGATACATTATTATTCAAGTCTTCTGTTTCGTAGCAGCAAATAATAGATTTTTTAATGCCCCACATAAACAATAGAGGACCCTAGCCATTGCTAATTATTTAGAAAAAAATGCTAGAGTGTAGAGTACTGAAATATATTATGCACACCTACAGTGAGATCTAGCCTAAAGGCCACTAGCACTGCACTTGTTAGCCATCTTTGAAGAGTTCTTATTCATGGACAGTGAAAGAGAGGACAACAAGCAAGGCACAAATGCAGCACACACTGCAATCTCTAGCACTCTTAAAATTAGGATTGCAAGCAGCATCAGGCAAGGTGAGGAGAGTTTAAACAACTCAAACTTACCTTCACCAAACATAAACAATGGCATAGAAATAGAATCATCATCACCTTATGGTTCTCCTCTTGTGTCCCCACCTTCATCAGCATTTGTTTCGGCATTGCAGTCTCCATATATATCTCCAAGGGCCATAATCCCTGACCTCCCAAGTGGATCTCCTTTGGAAAACCAACCATCACTACCAACAACAACAACAACCACAAACCCTTCCACACCAGAAGATGTGCCAAGCAGTTCCTACACTCCCCCTTCTGATCAATATGAGTTCTCTGATGACACTGCTGACACAAGGCTCAAATATGTGACATGTGTTCCAGAAGCAGCTCCTCCACGCATCTCATTCTCATTTCCAGTCCCTAGAATCTCCTTTGCAAAAGGTCCTGTCTCACCTGCTTCCAATGCCAAACTCAGAAGCTGTGATGTCTACATTGGATTCCATGGCCAGAACCCCAACTTGGTGCGCTTCTGCAAGTGGCTCAAGTCTGAGCTTGAGCTTCAAGGGATTGATTGCATGCTTGCTGATAGGGCAAAGTACTCAGATACTCAGAGCCATGAGATTGCTGATAGAGTCATTTGCTCAGTGGCATTTGGAGTGGTGGTTGTTACAAGTTCCAGCTTCCTCAACCATTTTAGCATGGAGGAGGTGAGATTCTTTGCTCAAAAAAAGAACCTGATCCCTCTCTTGTTTGACACAGGACCTTCTGAGATTATGGCTCTTCTTAACTGCAACTCAATTGACAAAGAATGTAAGGAGGCAATTGATGGACTAATGAAGTGCAATGAATTCAATCTAGAGGCTAATGATGGTAACTGGCGAAGCTGCGTAGCGAGAACTGCTAGCGTTTTGAGAGCAAGACTTGGTAGGAAGAATGCTGAGCAGAAAGATAATATGCAAGTATTTGAAAGCTTACCTTTTCCAAGGAACACATACTTTGTAGGAAGAGAGAAGGAGATTATGGAGATTGAAGGTCTTTTTTTCGGACGAGGGAATTGTATGGAACAAGTCCAAGATCATTGTAGGACATCCATCAAAGGAGAAGCCAGTGGAAGTGGACAATCTGAAGGCCTTGCAGATGAGGAAAGTGAACCAGTGATAGGTAGGTGTGGGAGGTACATTAGTCTAGAAATGGGGAGGAGCAAAGAACCAACTTTAGAGGCTTGGGTTGAACCGATCATAGGAAACAATTCTGTGAAGAGGTTGAAGAATAAGAAGTCAAAGAGTGGAAACTACAAGAGCTTGTGTAGCAGTGTGATTTGCATTAATGGGGTTTCTGGGATTGGGAAGTCTGAGTTGGCGTTGGAATTTGCTCACAGATATCACCAGAGGTACAAAATGGTCTTGTGGGTTGGTGGTGAAGCCAGGTATCTTAGGCAGAACTTGTTGAACTTGTCTCTCAATTTGGGATTGGATGTTGGTGCTGATTCTGAGATGGAAAGGGGTCGGATTCGAAGCTTTGAGGAGCAAGAATTTGAAGCATTCAAGAGAGTCAAGAGGGAACTGTTTGGTGAGACTCCTTACTTGCTGATAATTGACAATCTTGAGACAGAAGTGGAATGGTGGGAAGGGAAGGATCTATATGACTTGATACCAAGAAACACGGGAGGGACACATGTGATTGTTACTACTAGGTTGTCCAAAGTAATGAGCTATGATACTATTCAGCTTCCACCTCTGCCATTATCTGAAGCAGTGCTTCTTATGATAGGAAGAAAAAGTAGAGAGTATCCAGAAGATGAGATGGACTTCCTTGAAAAGTTCAATGAGAAACTTGGAAGGTTGAGCTTTGGTTTGTGGATGATTGGTTCATTGTTGTCTGAACTTGCAATAAGCCCTTCTGCTCTCTTTGAGGCCATAAACCAAGTGCCACTCAGTGAAGATCCAAACACTTGCTATATGAGCATTGCGGAAGGGCAGTGGTGCAAGAGCAACCCTTTTCTCATGAAGACCCTCCTCTTTTGTTTTGAAACTTTGGAGAAAACTAAAGCTAAAGGGAACCTCCTGGCCATAAGAATGCTGCTTGTGAGTGGCTGGTTTTCCCCTGTTCCTATTTCAGCCACTTTATTAGCCAATGCGGCAAACAGTATCCCTATGGTTGAAAACCGTCTCAAGAAGTGGACCAAATATCTGAGCCTCACATCTAGTTGTTTATCATCGCGGACTTGGAAGAACGAAGAAGAGTCGGCTACATTTCTTGTGAAAATGGGACTGGCTAGAAGGGCTAATCAACATGATGGATGTTGGCTTCATTTCCATCCCATAACACAAGCATTTGCCAAAAGAACAGGCGGTTTGCAATATGCCAAGGCTGCAATTCAAGGTGTGAGAAAAACTGGCAGTCATGTAAACTCGGATCATTTATGGGCCTCAGCTTTCCTAGTGTTTGGGTTCAAATCTGAACCTCCACTTGTTCAATTGAAGGCAACTGACATGGTTTTGTACATCAAGAGAACAGCTCTCCCCCTAGCAATTCAAGCCTTCACCACTTTCTCAAGATGCAATTCAGCCTTGGAACTCTTAAGAGTGTGCACCAATGCATTGGAGGAAGTTGAGAAGTCCTTTGTCTCTCAAATCCAAGATTGGTCTCATGGTTCAATTTGTTGGAAAAGGAGGCTGCAAAGAGGCCAGAAAGTGGATGAATATGTGTGGCAGGATGTCACCTTGTTGAAGGCAACACTGCTGGAGACAAGAGCAAAGTTGCTTGCCAGAGGGGGGCATCTAGACAGTGCCAAGGAACTGTGCAGAACATGTATCAGTATCAGAACTGTCATGCTCGGCCATAACCATGCACAGACCTTGGCTGCTCAAGAGACATTGGCAAGGTTGGTGAGAATGAGGAGTAAGATATGAGTATGTTTGTTGTGTCTTCTCCTTTAATGTTAAACTTCATACAAAACAACACCTGCAGTGAAGGTGTGTAAATGTTACTGTAACAATAAGCATTACTACTGTATGATTGTACTACTAATGTTCTTTGTCTATCTCCTCAACAAAAAGTATTACTGTGGCATTAATGTTCTTGTTTGAGGCATTCACTGTAATGTTGGAGAAAATGATAGTATCAATGAAACATCTAGTAGTTACCTTAGTATGTGACTGTTCTTTGATTGAGTTTGTATTATTCTGCTGCAATTAAATTAAAGATAAAATTTAGATATAATTTCTTAATTAATTAGTATTATTATTTTTGTGGAAGAACGTATGTAAAAGATTTTGATGATGTCAAAGATTGTTCAGATTTTCTCTCTTCCAAGAGTCTCAAATTCTTTGATTTTAATCCATTTCTATTATCCTCTTCATACAAGAGTGTGGTGAGATTTGAAGTGGATAATCTTCCTCTTAGAAGTGGCGCCACTTGAGCGTATTGTTCACCATTGAAGGTGAAATCTGGCTTCTAACTTAGAAGCTTGGGGAGCAAGCTAAGCTAGAAGCTTGTAGCACAATTTATCCAAGTGTGTGGGAGAAGCTAGAAGAGCTACGCGGCCATCTTGTTTTCCTTCACTTAATCCAATCCAAAAAAGTTGGAATTGGTTTAGTTAGGTTCACCTAATGACGATGAGACCTAGCTAAATCAATTCCTTAGATTAAATGGAGCAAAACAAGCCAAATATTTAAAAATTAGCCTAGGCCCACTATAGGGCCAATTGCTAGCTTCACCTACACACTTTACTATTTGTCACCCCGTGAACTCTTCAAAACCACCAACAGAGGTTTAGTCTGGCCATCAGGCATTCCGACATCAAAGAGATTTTCAAACTGGACATGAAGTTGTCTTCAATTGGGTTCCAACACCTAAGTCTATTTCTTTAGGTTCCAATATTTAGGTTCACCTCTCAGTACCTCCCTAAATATCAAAAATTATGAAAAGCGATGGTTAACCATTTAACATATATAATTTGCAAAGAAAGAAAAATAAGACAAAAAGAAATGAACCTAAGAATCGGAGGAATACCAACACATTACTTTTCTTCAATCTATCTATCAAGCGTGAAATCAAAAGTGTCCTTTCATAGCCTCACTAGTCTAATTTATATCCTAAAAGGGCTAAAAGATAAACCTAAAATGAAGTCCTAATGATAAGATAATACATAATGATTTAAAAGATAAGCTTTAACATCAGGATCGTGTCATGAGAGTGACGGGTGAGTCACGACCATCACATGTTCAACTTCTTAGAGATTGTTTTCTTCACTTGGTCTATCACGGGCTTGACAAGTATGCCATAATTGTGACCCTTTTCTGGCTTGTGTCTTATTGTTCTTTCTCCCTTGATCTTCTAAGGGCAATCATATCTTCACTTACTATATGCAAATAAAAAAACAAAATAAAAATGTAACAAGAATAAAAAAGAAAAACTAACTTTAAAAAAATTTCCTAAGGTAACTATGTTATATTATGCATGAACATAGTTCTAATTAGTTAAACTTAAGATTAAACATTATAAAAATGCAAAACATCAAATAACCCTAAACTTAAACTTTTGCTTGTCCTCAATAATAATCATAATCTTTGAGTTAATCCATTAAGGAGACAATAGTAGTAATGTATAGGCAAATTATCCATTCTTTTTAGTCTCATTTAAGTCCAATTAGAGTCTTACATTTCCAAAGCTAGCACTAGCTCTCACTTTCTTAATTAGAAAAATTCATTCAAAACTATGTTCATGAAAATGTTTCTATTTTAAATAGACAAACAAATATCTGTAAAAACATTTCTCAATACTTATGTAACATAATGGGGACAAGAAAATTCTTATTATTTTTATTTTTCGACCAAAACATTTCACAATAACCAATTAGTATAAGGGATGTATTTTTGTTGAACCTATAACCTCTCAAAGGGGTGCTTGGATAAATACTAAATATTTTCCAGTAGCTAATCAATTATCTTTTTCTTTTGTCCTTAGTTTTCTAAGGTGTTGATCATTTTCCCTCAATCCTATGACCTCAAGGGGGTGCTTTGTTAAAATTTTCTTCTCTATCTATCTCTTTACACACACACACACACAAACATATATATCCCCATAAGCTTCTAATTTTGAACAAAATTTTGATTAATTTCGTTTGTTTATCTAGATTCATTGGTTTCCAAACAAAGTTAAATAAGTAAAATGATGAGAGCCTTATATCAACATTGAGATTTTGCTAATTTTCCAACTTTTTTATTGAAACCTCTATCATTCTACTTCCCTCATTATATAACTTGTTTATCAAATTATATCAAGGTTTAAGTTTAATTTTGAGATTACTGAATAAATGCATGAGTGCATGGCAAGAACAAAAATAAAACATGATTAAACATGTAAATGCATGACCCCTTCAAACCCAAACGTAAATATCTACTTCTTCTACATTTGGATTTTGAGGAGGGGAATGATATTCTTGATCATCTTCTTCTTAAGGTATTTTCTCTGCCCCTCTAGTGGAAATTTCCATGTTGTCAGGTTCTTCATGATAAGGTTTGTCAGAGGATTGTGAACTCCATTTTGAGAAACCACAAAATAATATCTCTCATTATCATTTAAGTAAATGCAATTTATTGTATAACAGGTAGCAAAATTGATATTCTTGGTTCCTAGAAGGCATCAAGCTAGTTCAAGAGATGTTCATATCCTAAGCTTTTTGGTAATTTTTTTTATTAGACCTCCATTAACTATGTTCCCTAACCTAATGTTGAATATGCCTTAAAATTTTCATGCAGGGTGGCCCCCAAAATTTATCTTTTCTTGTTTGTTTTCCATCATTACCCAAAGTAGCAATAAGTCACCTAGTCATACTTTTTCTTCAAATTCACCTTTAGCAAGCACAATAGAGGCTATGAATCTATGCATGATATGCATTGTGAGATGCCAAAAAGTAGAGGAATTGCATCTCCCTACTACCCAATTTGATGTACCTATAAGACTATACCAAAAAGAACTAAGGTAGAAAGATATAGGTTGTCTTGTGTCCCTATTACCCGAAAAACCAAACATTTCATTGAATTGGGCTAAATTGAGATGGTGGTCATTATTGAACATTCTAAAAGATATAAGTCCTTTGATAGAGTTGCTGAATCATTATAAAAAATTATTAGATTATTCCCAAAGATTTGTAATATAGGGAAAAACCTAGGTCATTTTTCACAAAGACACAAACACATTAAATTTGTATTTTATCATGCAATTAGGAAGCGGATTTTTAATATTTGAACAATATTCAATCAACAAATCAATAATTAAAAATTAGAAATTTAATCAGAGAAGTATCAATTTAAGATTTCAATCCTTACCGTAAAAATTTCATAGTTTAACATTAAATCCGAATTCTCAATCAACCTAATTCAACATTGTAGACCCCTAAAATTGTCCGGCTCGGAAATAAGACTCGAAGACTCTCGAAGACCAAAGGAAAGTCAGCCGGAAGGACTCCTGGAAGACCCTAGGATGACTATTCGTAGGTTTAGAAGTCTTAGAGTAGCTTAAAATAAGGTTGTGGAAGGATTGAAGCTCAATACGGCCTCCTGGAAGTTCAGTACGGCCGTACTGAACAATTTGAACTACAATACGGCCATACTGAAGCCAATACGGCCATACTGAAGTTTTTGAACTTCAGTACGGCCGTTGTTGCCATGTTGAGAACAGAAGCTGTGTATCATGCCATGGCTTACACCACATGTAAGCTCTTGTAGCTGAAAGGCTGAAACACTGACTTCAGGAGTAGCAGTTCTGTGAAGTTGGTCTTATAAAGGTAGTGTGCAATAATCAATCAGCTTTGTATCTCTCCTCAAACCTAGTTTTTCATGAGAGAACAAAGAATATAAAAGTGGATTGTCATTTCCTAAGTGAAAAAGGTCCTCTCAGGCATCGTCAGACTTCCTCTATCTGCTCTAAAGATCAGCTTACTAAGATTGTCACTAAATCATTCCGGTGATCTAAGATTGTTAATATATATGTCACAAGAAGGATGCATATGATATACACGCTATAGGAGATATTCTATATTATTAGAAAAATAATGTCTACATTTAGGTTTATTTATTTTTTGATTGTTTTCTGATTATTTCCGTAGAATAGATAGACTGACTCTAATTCCTAAATTCAGGGAATTGATTCTCATATTACTGTATACAAAATTGTAGTATTATAATGGAAATACAACATAACATTATTCACTATTTTCAGTCTCAAGTCAATTGGAACAATGACAACAAGTCATCATCATCAACAACAACAACAACAATAATAATAATAAAGAAGCTAGGCATTACTTTGGTTGTTCTTGACCTCCGAGCTGCCTCTTCTGCTTCTCGGATTTTTCGAGTCTTCAAGAATTTATCTAAACAAATTCAATACATTAAAGTTTAAATATCATGAAGGGAATATTATGTCTTTCAATGAGTATTATCACCCAACAATTGTAAACAAAAACAATGCATATATACAATTGCATTAAAGAAGCTAAAAGGTACAACATAATATATGTAGTAGAGGACAATATAAACAGTGTGATATGGCACTTCTAGCCTACTAATGCTGAATACAAATGGCTTACTGACCATCGATTAATCAAATTTCCCCTCATTTTTTAACTTTCATTTCTCAACCTCATTAGAATATCAATTTTTTTTATTATAACTATTTTTTATGTCAGGTAATGATGGGAATGGATAGGAAATGAGTGGAACAGGAGAAAGTTCCCCTGTTTTGAAGCTTAAAACATATAAGAGGGAAACAAAACAGAAAGGAAACTATTCTCCATCATTTCCCCTCAAAGATACAAATATCACTTCCCAAAAAATTAAGACAGAATGAGGGGAACGATAATGGAATTTTGTTCTGTTGCTTTATAAATCTTCCAAAAAAGCAGAACAGTAATATGTCTTATTCTTTCCCTTCCGTTTCCAGCTTATCCCCTCTTGCTATGTTTCACTCCATTAGTCCATTAATAAAAAAATTATCCACACACACAGTGAATTGGAGAAACTGTAGATCAATGCAAATGCATAACCTTAAATGGCTTTTTCAATATTATGGAATGATTAGATTACCTTCCTTCTTAGAAGCCAAAAGTCTGTAATAATCTTCAGCAGTAAACTCATAGAAGTCATCGGTCTCCTCTCCTTCAACACACCAACAGGAAATATAAGTTTAATCATGATATTTGAGAAAATTTCAACATATAAATATCAATAATTCAAATTTTAAATGCAAACTTTACTAGGGCCTTGGGATTGTCAAAGATAAGGTGCCATTACCATTGGATAATGGAGCATTTGATGATGAAGCAAAAGTTGATGTTTCAAAAATGTGGATCTCTCGTCCAAATCTTTCCTTCACAGCTGCAAGCTTGGCCTGGTTCAATAAAGTATAATGGTAAAGGAAAGATCCTTGAAATTAATAGTTCATTAAAGTGCAGAAGCAGTAAGCCTGAACCAGGAAAAGTTGTCAGCAGTACAAACAAATAAAGAATACATATGCATTGGAGAAATATCCACAATGCCTCATCGAAGATCAAAAACAGTAATCATTTCAGAGCTTGGTAATTGAACTGGGATTCAAATCATGATTCGGTAGACCTATTTTTTGAATTGTGAATCAAATCGTATGATGAATCATAAGATTCATGATCAATTATATAGTATATTATATACAACCAAGATACATAAAAGTAAAAATTCATGAATAATAACTAAAAACGTAAACCTAAAAGTATTTTAACATAAAGAAACATAGTAAAAGTCAAAACATAATTTGAATTAAATAAAATATTAAAATATTATATCTTTTTATTTGTATATTTAATATACTTTGAATACAGAATATATATTACAAATTTTAAGGATAATTAGATAATTAAAAAAGAAAAGATTATACCATTCGTATATAAATATTGAAACTTGCTCAAAGATATAACACGATCTCAAAACTCAGAAAAGGATAATACATTAGACTTAGACAAGCCCATGCAACGATGTCAACAAAAAAGAGGGCGGTCAACTGCAAGCAAGTGAAGGCTGAGCTAGTGAAGACAGTGCTCATTGCCTGGTATGATTGCAAGCAAGGGCAAACCCACACACCAGCAGCAGCCAATTCCCGGTCTTATCTAATATTTGGGAAAAGGAAAAAAAAATAACCTCTTATCTTCAATCACATACACAACTCAACTCTGTTTAGAGTGTGAACTGTTGTGGAAGAATCACACGATTCATGTGCGGAATGCGATGCATGCATTTCAAGTGCAATTCTAACAATTTATGTAGAATTCAGACTTAAAATTTATTTAGCACAGGATTCACGTCACCAAGCTGGAGAATCGTGTCATATTGTACTAATTGAATAGTAAATCATACAATACTGATAACCATGTTTCAGAGGACATGGAGAAGGATTTCCTCATAGATATCATTTGTGGTTAGCTGGGAGGAAGACAAAATGTATGGAATCATATATTATTTAAGCATTTGAAAAGAGCAAGTTTGAATTCCACCATTTATTAATTAAGGATTCAGTTGTGGATGATATAGTCATCATTGATGAATGAAGAAAAAAAAAAAGTAAATTTAATGGAATAGAATTAAAATGTGAAATTTGTATGATTAAGGCTCATATATGTTTATCTTTCCAACAAGCCAAATGGTGCATAATTTCCAACTCCCTAGCCTACGCTATATTTTTAATCAGAATTGAAATTTTTATCATGCGTATAATATTAAGATCTATATTAAATGTAAATACATCTTAATTATGTAAATACATCTTAATGAATTAAGATGATTGAAAAATATCACTAATTGAATTTAAGAAATTGTATTTAGATTTTTTCCTTAAATTAATCCATTGGAATTCCATTAATGCAATTCAGCTGAAGTTTTCTACGATACCAACTTCAGGTGGAGAAATCTACAACACAACATGAGTAATTTACATAAATACCTTTAATACCTTAAAATACAATAAACTATTAGATTCAACTGATAGGAGATTTCAAGCATCACATTGGTAATAAAAAGAAAAACTAATGAAACAATCAAAGAAACTAACTTGATAAATTATTGTGATGCAACAAATCATAAGAACTAAATTATTGGAATCCAATACTGATTGATCTATAAGTAAACAAGACAATTTATGAGAAACAAATAAGGATGATTAACTTCAATATTTAAGCTCTAAAAATACTACAATATTTAAATGACAAAAAATAATTATGAATCAAAATAAAAAGAAATAGAAAATACAAAACTGTATGAATTTTCACAAAAAGAAGCAAGTTGAGTTGATTTTTATTTCTTCCTTTTTCTTACAATGACAATCAAAGAACTAAATTATAGTCTAACTGTTTTATAAAATTTTGTTTCTAAATATCATTATTAAAAGTGATTCGGAATGGTCCGAAAACCAAACCACTGAAACATGTTGCTTTGCTCCAGGGTCGTGTAGATAACAAAAGCATCAAGAAACTTGCTTTAAATTTTAAATACATACATAATAATATATAATTTGTGTAATAATTATTTTTTAATAATTAAGTGGTGAGATGAACAAATAATTAAAAGTTTAATCAAAAGGTAGATGTGAGACTCTAAATTACAAGAAACGTAAATATCGACTCACGTACATGAACACAAATATACATATTCATTATAAATTTTAGTAATTTTACTTCAAATTTATTACATGAAAAAGAAAATCATCTTTAATACTTTTTTATAAATAATATATAGCCAATTTTTATTATTAAGGCTTTATTTAAACTATTTTTAATATGAAAAACATATTGTAATTAATAATTATTATATTGAGTATTTTTTAAGAAATTGTCGTGAAATTCTGCACGGCCAGAATGCTACAATCCAAATCAGTATTTTTATATTATAAGAATATGATAAAATTGTTACTGTTACCGACTTGAGTTGTAAAGTCCTAAAATTATACTTGAACTACTTGTTTAGGGTGTCGGAGAATTCCACTGTAACAGGAAGATCTTGATAGCATTATTTTGTCATAAAAATTATATAATTAATTATTTTATTAAAATATGAACATTATATAAAATAAAAAAATAATGAAGAGTAGATTGTGTTTTGGTATTGAATGGACATGTAACACACACAAGATGAAAATACATAAACTTACACATGTAATGGCTAAGTGAATCCTTTAAAGAGACAGCTTAGATTGTATTTAACGCAGTAAAAAAAAAAAAAAAAAAAAAAAAAATTGAAATAATAAATAAAAAAAAAAA